TTCTTCCATGAGGAGTTCCAGTGCCTGTGTACCAGAGGCACCCTGGTGATAAATAAGTGCCCAGACTGCAGCTATTCACAGAATTAGTTTTCCATTGTCTGCTGTGTTTTTCTCATACTGTTCTCCCACAGTGCAGTCTGTTCTCAAGTTATTACTTTCCAAAGAAGAAAAGAACCAGGTGCCCTGTGGCGTTCTAGCAAGAAGCGGAGGTCTGTTACAGGCCTCTCACCCAGGCACTCCACATTAATTGTGTTTGCTTCAGCTGATGACCGGGTCGGAGCTGGGTCGTAACAGACCTTTCCTCCACTGTCCCAGGTTTCCCTCGCAGCCGGCCGCCAACCACGACCCGTTTGGAACATTAAGAGCTCCTCATGGTTTAAAGCAGCTCAGCCAGCGTTTTCAGTCGGAGCCCACCCACCTCCGAGCTGATGCTCTGCCCACTCTCCCCACGCCCCTGCGCCCACAGCTTTGTGTCTGAGGAGAATGTGTTATCACTTCGCCATGGAGCCACCCACCTCACAAACACAAAAATTAACACCTGCGCGAATTCCAAGCATGCGGCTTGTGAGCTCCTTGTGTGCATAATATAAGCAAGAATCCCCAAACGGCAATGCAGTTAAGCTGATCTCTGCATGTGTGCTTGGTAAAATATGGTTAAATTATTTAAAAAATGTTTTGGCCAATTTTTTCCAAAATCTCATTTTAAAAGCTTAAAAGCCCCTCCACCACCAATGCGCAGCCCCACCTGGATGATGCGACAGCTATTAGTGGGGAGGCGAAAAGGGTGATGAAGCCAGTTGATAGATAAGGATTATAAGGAGTCCATGATTGGTAAAGGCCAAGGGAAATTTGGCTTGGACACCTGGGTAAAACCCCTACTCTTTTCAAGAAACACCCTGGGATTTTTAATGTCCATGGTTTAACATCACATCTGAAGGATGGCATCTTTTTACAGTATAGTGTCCTTGTCACTGTAATGTGGCATAAGGACCCACATAGGCAGCAGGATGAGCGCCCCTTGCTGGCTCCACTAACACCTCTTCCAGCAGCAGCCTTAGTTTTTTCCCAGGAGGTCTCCCATCCAGGTACTGACCAGGCTCACGCCTGCTTATATTCAGTGGGTTATCTTCAGGTGTGAGTTGCAGAGTGATATAGCCGCTGGGGTATTAAGTTATTGACCTTTGCAGGTGTGAAGGAGAGTCACCAGATGAACCTCTTTAAGATTATTGCCTCCATCCTCCACCTGGGCAACGTGGACATCCGGTCAGAGCGCGACGGTGACTCCTGCTACATCCCTGTGAGTGTCTGGAGCCACTCTGCAACAGCATAACCATATTTCATGCCAAATCATTGTTTCGTTTTTGAAGCAAAGCTTTTTCAGTTTTGCATCCAGGATAAAAGGTTGTGTGGTCACCTTAAAACCAAACATACTGTACTTATAAAGTGGATTAGTGTTATAAATAAAGAGTATGGATGTTGAGGATATTTAAAAAACGGGTATGGTGTCATTTTGATTAATGAATCATGTAGGTCTGACCACGATAGTGACCTAGTCCTGCAATGATCACCGCTGATCCTGCAGTGATCGCATTCCAGCAGGGCAGTGTACATGCACAGTGGCTTTCTTGCAACATGACAATGTGACAGTTCTGCTGTAGATTCTGTGCTCATCAGACTGGAGCTACATTAAAAATCTGTAGGATGAAATAAGATGAAGCGTGACACTTAGGGCTCAGAGACCAGTGAACAGGCACATGCTTGTCCAAGGGCTTTGAGCTGAAAGGGACCTCAACTGGATCCTGCGTGTGCCAAGCACACCTGATGTACAGCTTATATTGTTTGTAGCGATGACCACTCCCACCACTGTCCCGAGACTTTCAGATGAGAGAGCATTGTCAGTCAGCCCTGTAGACTGCAGGTGTCTTGATGGCAAATATTAATCAGCATCAAAAAAATTGCTGTGTCTCTTCTGTTCAATAAAAGATCTGTGCATCTCCTAGTACACAGATCTTCCTAATAATAACATATTAACCTTTTAATTATAAGTAATAAGTTCCTTTTGAGTAAATTAAAGAGCAAAATACAGTACACGTACCTCATTTGTTGTTCCCCATGTGTTTTGAAAGGGGATCACAAGGGGACTTATTCAAGAATTCAAAATAAGATAAGATCAGGCTACTTCAGGCTCATAAAGTAGCAATGATTATACAGGAAAAGTGCTGTTTTAAAGTGGAAATGGGAAACTCTGAAATCTTATGTTCAAAAAGCTGCTGGCACTCAAACAAAACAGATTGGCCAAAGTTCCTGCTCTCATACTTTAGCCTTATTTTAAGTTCATTTTTACCATGCTGTCCTGGAGCCAGATTTTGATTTAAGCAATTCAGGTTCAGCTGCCTGAGTACAAGCTGGTAAAGTATCCTTAGTCTTCTGCTGTCGAGAGCCTTGACCTCTTCCATTTACAAGTGTTTTTTTTTAGTAAGGTGCTTACAGTTCTACTGAAAAGGATGCGGATGGAAGACAGAAAATAGAGTAGAATCATATTCTGCAGCAGTGCATACGTTAGTGTGGCGCAGTGTTCAGTGTTCTGAATTTGTAACTGGAAGGCTGTGGGTTCAAATCCCACTTGAGACACTGCTTTGTCCCCTTCAGGATGGTGCTTCACATGAATTGCTCCAGTAAAATACCCAGCTGCTTAAATGGGTACTGTACGTCACTTTGGAGAAATGAAAGTAAATAAATTAGTAGTAATAGTATCTGGCATCCAAGGAGGTACTGTGGAGAAAGTGTCAGTGCTCTGTGTAAGTGAATTAGCTCTGGTCTAATTTGTTGCAGGCTGAGACCATCAAGCTGTGGCCACATGTGAAAATGTGAAAATGATCGTGATTCTTAGCCTTTAGTCATAAACGTTTAGATGTGCAGCAGGTCTCATTTTATACCTGTGTCTTAGCCTTATCGCTTCAAAAGAAATTAATTGCAATTCTTAAAAATGCCACAAAGCGTTTCGAAGGAAATGCGATAGTTTTAAACAGCTGTTTTTTCTCAGAAGTTTTTTTTTTTGTAATTTCCTTTTTAAAAAACTGCAAATTACAGAATTGTGTAAGATTCCCAGACAAGCAGACCGGGTGTCATTATATTGGAACTGTTTAAATGTCCCTGAATCCTGCTCATGTGAAAGAGCCACCCTCTCCAATGGACAGATGCAATAATCAGTATAATTTGTCATTGATCTGGTGAAATGAAAGACAGTCTTTCAGGACAGGAGACTGTGAAGGATGGGAGGACTGCTGGTGGTGATGATGGGAATTCAGTCTCAGCCTCAGGAAAAAGACCAATGAGTCAAAATTACGCTTCAGTAAACTAGTAACATCTTTTCAGAATAATTGAAAACATAAATGAAGATACAGTAGGCTGCTCTTTTTAATAATCTTATCTTGAAGCCTATTTCTTCCTTGACAGCTAGAAACAACTAGATGAATTGGTCTAGTAATTTTAATAATTTGTTTGTGGAAGTGTTTTTTTTTTCTTTTGTCCGCAGTTGGTTTGTGGAGGTGGGAAGGGATTGATTTTTTCCTTTTCCTGGGAAGTGGGGTAGCAGTAAAACAAAGCCCCGTCTTTTCTGACCAGCGAGAAACCGCGTCTTCGTCTCGCGCCGCTGAAAAAGCACGATGGCGCGGGAAAGATGGGTTAGCCGCTGCACGCGCGCGGGGGACCTGAGGGGGCCGTGCACGTTCGTGCCGTGCCCTTCGCGGGGGTGACCGGCTTTCCTCTCCGCGCAGAAAGGCGACGAGCACCTGAACCACTACTGCGACCTGCTGGGCGTGGAGCACGACCAGATGGAGCACTGGCTGTGCCACCGCAAGCTGGTGACCACGGCGGAGACCTACGTCAAGCCCATGTCCAGGCAGCATGCCCTCAACGCTCGCAACGCGCTCGCCAAGCACATCTACGCCGAGCTCTTCAACTGGATCGTGGAGCACATCAACAAGGCACTGTACACCAGCACCAAGCAGCACTCCTTCATCGGCGTGCTGGACATTTACGGGTAAGAGCTCGACAGCTTAAATGATTTCCTGAGTCACCATACACAATATAAGTATACTTGCAAAAGATATTGTGTTTTTATTTCATAGTTAAATATTACAAGTATTTTTTGTGTGAGGAGTAAATAGCATTAAAGATAGCGATGTCTGGGTGGTCCATACAATACAGGTTTTATCATTATTATATTTATAATCATTTCTGGCCTTATGACACATACATGAAAATATTATATTAGATTTATTATAAGAGTGCCTTGACATTTGGCACCAAATAAAAACTAATAACAGACATGAATGTGTCTTTAAGTATTAATTTTATATGGAAAGTTTAAAAACACTTTATTGTACTAATATTTAGGCAGATTTAACCGTTCCCATAGGAATAAGGTTCAGATAACGTTTTTTTCCCACAATGCAAAAGCACAGAGGTATGGCAGGTGACTTTGTATGTACCTGTAAGTGAATCCTCATCCTCAACAGCGCTTGCCTTCTGCAGGTTCGAGACGTTTGAGGTCAACAGTTTCGAACAGTTCTGTATCAACTACGCCAACGAGAAGCTGCAGCAGCAGTTCAACTCAGTGAGTATGAGAGGAATTGTCCTGTGCAAACATTACAATATCTCATTTTTACCATCTTCTTTCACTGAATGGACATGTATCTGTAGTGATTTAATAGAGCGTTGTTTATCTAAAGGGACTGGATAAACATTTAGATGTCTATATTCTAATCCAAGTAATTTATCGATATAGCTAGCATTTATTAGGCTAGAAGTGAAAGTAAAGATGTTTTATTAAGGAGCAGTTGCTCATAGTGTACTTACAGTACTAGACCTTTGTCAAATCTGTCTCGGCAATCAATCATAAAGCACAGCTTTCATGAAACATTTACTGCCATACCGAGTTTACAACTGATTTTCCTCTGCCCAGAAAAGCACAGTGGCATTTTGAAATGTGACAGAAATACTGTATTTCAAGGCATGGGTTTCAGAGTGGCTACCAGGCGAATAAGCTTCTTGCATGTACTGTAATCGTCCTGCCACAGCAGAGCAGAGTTCAATGCAAGTATACATACAAAATAACAGAAATCCATCTAAGAAAGACGGGTCGTGAGTCCGAAAGGTTACAAAAATAGTACAGTATGTGAGTTTCTGGAAT